CCATTAGGGATGAGTGACTGCAATATCACAGAATTTTATATTATGTTTCAAAATGAGCTAGTTTATTCTGAAACAGGGGTGTGAAATTTAAATAAGGGAAATTATGAAGGCATGAGGCAAAATTTGACTGAGTTGGATTTGGAAAATACATTAAAAAGTATGACTATACATAGGCAATGGAATAGTCTTTAAATAACTTTAAAGAAGCTATGCATTTCTTCAAGGTGGAAAAATTCCAAAAGGCCAACAGTAGCTAACCATAAGACCAAAACAAGAGAAAAATATAGAGTTTCCAAAACATTATAGAAATTCTGAGGATTGGAAGGATTTTAGAATACAGCAAGGTAGGCCCAAGAAACTGATTAAGACAGAATAGAATATGAATGCAATCTAACAAGTAAACATAAAATGGACTGTAAAATAGATTCATAAAAGGAAGCATTTGGCCAAAAAAGTTTTGCAGAGTCAGGAGAATTTATAACGGGAAATCGTAAAATAGCAGAGAAGATAAATGATTGCCTTATGTCTCTTTTCACTTAGGAATCTATAAGCAATCTCCCAGAACTAGAGATTCAAGTGGCTAGGGAGCATGAGGAGTTGAAGGAAATTAGTAAGACAATTGTACCAGAGAAATTAATGGGAGTGAAATTTGATAAATCCCCAAGACCTGATAGTTTGCCTATCAGAGCGGTCATAGAGAAAATATGATACATTGGTGATTCTCTTCCAAAATTCAATAGATTCTGAATTATTCCTGTGGATTAGAAAGTAGCAAATATCACCTCACTATTTAAATAAGGACTAAAGTATAAAACAGGGAACTACAGACCATCAGCCTTATATCAGCAGTAGAGAAAATACTAGAATCTATAGAAAGATTTTTTTAAAATTGAAACGTAGATGACAATTACATGTTTGGGCACAGTTAGCATTGATTTGTGAATGGCGTTTGGTGAATTTGTTAAGATTTTTTTGAAGATGTTACAAACAATATTGACAAGGGAGAGCAGACATACATGCATACTTAGATTTTCAGAGGAGGCTGATTAGAAAAATTAAAGTTAAATGGGATAGGGGATGGTGTACTAGGATCAGCTAACAGAGAGAAAACACAGAATTTGAACAAACAGGTCATTCTCATGTAGGCAGGCTATGACTACTGTAAAATGGTACCACAAAGATCAGCACTTGGGTCCCAGCCCAATATATTTCAAAATGATTTGCAGGTGGGGGCCAAATATAATATCTCTAAATTTGTGAATGATAATAAGCTAATTGCAAATGTGTGCTTTGAGAAAGATGGAAAATAGCTTCAGGAGGATTTGGACATGCTTGGCCAATGCGTAAGAACATGGCTAATGGAGATTACTGTGAATAAATGAGGATATTCATTTGGTAGGAGAAACAGATATGCAGAGCATTTCTTAAATGGTAAGAGATTGGAATGTATAGGTGTACAATGGTATTCTTGCTGTCACTGAAGGCTAACATGCAGATGCAGCAAGTTATTAGGAAGGCTAATGGAATGTTACTTTTTATTGCAAGTATTGAGTTTTGAGCAGGACAGCTTGCTTCAATTGTACAGATGCTTAGTTAGACCACACCTGGAATACTGTATGCAGTTTTGGTTTCCTTACGTCAGGAAAGATATTATTACCGTAGAAGGAGTACAATGAAAGTTCACCAGACTTGTTTCCAGGATGTCAGGGCAGTACTCTGAAGAAAGATTGGGCCTATATTCTCTAGAGTTTTGAAGAATGAGATGTGATTTCATTGAATCTTACAAAATACTTAAAGATAATCAAGGTAAATGCAGATATGATGTGCCCCCAGTCTGAGAAAGCTAAAGGGGGTCAGCAGGCATAACTTAAAAAGGGCGAGGCCACTCAGATTGAAGATGAGGAGAAATTGTTTTACACAGAAGGGTGGGAACCTTTTGAATTCTCCACCACAGAGGGCTGTGGAAGATCTGTTTTTGAGTATGTCTAAAGTAATGATTGATAGATTTCATAGAAATCATAGAATCCCTCCAGTGTGGAAGCAGGCCATTTGGCCCACAAGTCCACACCAATCCTCCAAAGAGTATCTCACCCACACCCACACCTATCCCTATAACCCTGCATTTCCCATGGCTAATCCACCTAGCCCTGGAAACTATGAGCAATTTAGCACGGACATCTAACCTGCACATCTAACCTGGGAGGAAACCAGAGCTCTCGGCAGAAACCCACGCAAACACGGGGAGAATGTGCAAACTCCACAGACAGTCGCCAGTTGAACCCAGGTCCCTGGCACTGTGAGACAGCAGAGCTAACCATTGAGCCATCATGCTGCTGATTACCAGTAATGTACAGGCTTGTTGGGAAAGGGTGGGTAAAACGGCATTGAAGTGTTCAATTAGATATGATGTTATCGAATGGCAGAACAGGTTTGAAAGGCTGAATAGCCTATTGGTATGTTTCAAGATATAGCACAAGTGGGAGTGAGAAAGATAGCAGTGGTGAGGAAGACAATAGGATTAAGCAAAATGGTATGAGATAGAGATAACATCAGCAGTCATGAAAGATTGGGAGATAATATAAAAATAAGACTAAGTACAACCCGTTACAGGTAGCAAAAGAGAATGAGAAAGAGAGAAAGAGACAAGAGAGGGCACGAGTGTGATTAGGATATTCAAAAAGAAGGCTGGGGGGGGAGAGAAAAAGGAATAATGAGACAGGGGTTGGATGGAGTACAAGTGAAACTTGCAAAAAGATGAAGGTGGAGAAATATAGAAAAGGTTAGACAATCAGGCATAATGGATACATTTAGGAACTGATAAAATTTCTACTACCCTGTGCTAACCCTGGTGAGAGTAACTGGTTATGACTATTTTATGCTGCTGTAGCCCTGTATTTATCAGGAGCACCAGAAGCTGGTTAAGAGATACCAGCAGCCCACGCAACAAGTGTTTCTTGGGTATTGGGGAACAGGCAGGGAAATCAGGGCATGGCACTGGATGGAGGCATAGGAGAGGGACACCAGGATTTGTTTAACTGTGGCTTCCTCTTCAGCACAAATTCCAAATGCCTGTTACATAGAGTCATACAGCACGGAAACAGACCCTTTGGTCCAATCGGTCCACACTGAACATAATCCCAAACTAAACTAGTCCCACTTGCCTGCTTCTGGCCCACATCCCTCCAAACCTTTCCTATTTATGCACATATCCAAATGTCTTTTAAATATTGTAATTGTGCCTACATCCACCACTTCCTCGGGAAATTCATTCCACACGCGAACCATCCTCTGTGTAAAGAATTTGCCCCTCGTGTCTTTTTCAAATCTTTCTCCTCTTATCTTAAAAATGTGCCCCTAGTCTTGAAATCCACCATCCTAGGGAAAAGACAACTACCATTAACTCTATTTATACCCCTCATGATTTTACAGACTTCTGTCAGGTCACCTCTAAATCTCCTATGCTCCACTGAAAAAGTCCCAGCCTATCCAGCTTTTCCTTATATCTCAAACCTTCCATACCCATCAATATCCTGGTAAATCTCTTCTGAACACTCTTCAGCTTAATAATATCCTTCCTATAACTAGGCAACCAGAAGTGGACACAGTACTCCAGAAGAAACCTCACCAATGTACTGTACAATCTCAACATGACCTCCCAACTCCTATACTCAAAGGACTGAGCAATGAATGCAAGTGTGCTAAATGCCTTTTTAACCACCCTTTCTATATGTGATGCAAATTTTAAAGAATTACGTACTTCAACCCCTAGGTCCCTCTGTTCCATAACACAAGCCATGGCCCTACTATTAATTGTATAAGCTCTACCCTTGTCTGTTGTACCAAAAAGCAATACCTTCATTTATCCAGATTGAACTCCATCTGCCCCATTTGTTCAAGATCCCTTTGTAATCTTAGAAAACCGTCCTCACTATCTATTATCCCACCAATTTTGGTGCAATCCGCAAACTTACTAACGATGTCTTCTATATTCTCATCCAATTCTTAACTGGAAAGACATATGTGACAGCCTTCAACTTGAGTAGATACCAGCAGGAATTGGATGAGTGTTGTAGATAGATGGCAACGTCTTTCAACCCTACTTCCAGCACTGGGAGATTGGGCACCTCAACTGTGTTAAAGTAACTGTGCACAATATTAGTACCACTGAATTGTTTGCTAGCCCACAGAGCTTGTGCATATTGAATCCCCAACACATAATTCACTGTTTCCAAAACTTGCCTCATATTGGTCTGAATAAATAGTACAGTCAAGGATCAAAGAAACTTCCAACTTCATTTCACATCTCTATTTTCAACCTTATTGGAAGACGATGGCCTAGTCATAACCAAGTTAACTCCTGTGCTAAAATGTTGCATCAAAAATTGCCAGATAATATCACTATGTATTCAGCAATACATCATCAACGGTAATACATGAGGTTTTACTCATACTTGGGTACTCAAACACAATTTAAGTCAAATTACAGTAAGACACAGGGAGGGACATCATGTCTGAGATGTCATATAGAGGGAGGGTTTGATATCACACAGGGAGAGGAGGGAATGTAATATTACATGGGGGAGGCAGGAATGTTATATCACATATGTGCAGGCTCTTGTATCACAGGGGGAGGGAAGGACGGTCCGATATCACATGGGGAAGGGAGGAGGAGAGTCTGATATCATATGGGAGGGTGGGGTCTGCTATCACATGGGGAGAGAGTGGGGAGTATTGTCTCACATTCATGGAAACTGCTCCTGTAACTAACCAATGCACTATCTGTTCGCTTATTGTTTCTGATATCTCTCATTGAAGTGCACCAGCCGGTGGATTGTATCAGTAAATAACGGATATACTGTAATAAAACATCTCTCAATCAGTCTATTTTGGCCACTCTGTGGGCCAAGTAAGCAATGGAATGACCATTTGGTGTGTACATGTAATGACAGAATCATTGAAGAAAAGAGCAGTAGCAAGAGCTGGCATACCAGCGCACTTACATCAATTGAACAGCCCATAAGGGAGCCCCTCTCTGTTGCCTTCTTCAGGATCTTGAACAGATCCTTGGGGGCTTCCTTTATCTCAAAGAATTCAGTAACACCACCAGTAAAATCTTCCATGGCTTCTGTGGTATTGCCACCTTTCAGTGCCTCATATGATCCATGCAACCTGGGTGACAGGATAGAATAAGAGTCAAAGCACAGCCTAATATTTCTTGACAAGCTAATTCCCAATTATCTGACCTTTGCTCTTTATAACACTGATTCCTTGCTGAGATAGGGTTCCAAGAAAAACCCTCACCCTACAGAAACCTACCCAGTCGTCCATCTGAGGCCAGAGAGTTCGGGAGGTATTAAATTTTAATTTGAACGCAGGCTGTTTTCTTGTTAAGTGAGTACAAGGGTACTGGGGACAGTCATTTCATCTGAAAGTCAACATCATGGAGAACTCAGGTGAAAACCAGCAATGTTCCTGGAAATTCTTGAACAACGTGATAACTCTGAGACAGTTGAACAATGAAGCTGTGAATTTCTCTCAACCAATCAGGAAGTTTTAACCAGCAATACCAACATCAGATATTGTGACTCACTGTGACTGAGAATGACAGTACAGTTCACCCCAATGACTCACTTGGCATAGGCCTTCTCCAACAGAGCACTCCAAAACTCATTTCGCTCAGCAGATTTGGTAAAAACCAACTGGTTGTTGAATGTGGGAATTCGGTCATCAACAGTGACATCCACCCAGTCACCGAAACGCCAGAACTGCAATAAACAGTGAAATGGCGAAGAGGGAAATTTACTAATTTCACCAGATGATAAAGTATTTTTAATCCTCATTAAATATGACATGGCATCTAATCCACTCAAAACACTAGCAACCACTTTGAGACTATGTTACAATGGATTTAAGTACAAAACAGTCACTAGGAAATTCAGGCAATCTAGGTAAACATCTGAGGGAGAAAGGAACAGTGAGATATGTTGAATGGGGAAATGAGAAGGTTAATGTGGAACTCAAAAAATGGCACAGACAATTAAGCTGTTTCCCTTGTCCTCTGCAACTGTCAGATGGGTGCAGTTCCACAAGTACCTTGCAATTATTCATTCAAAAGCAAGTTTTGTCCATTGAGTGGCCCTCCTGCTCCTTTCCACCAGACTTTATCAAGTGCTCAATTTTGTCACTCCATTTTCATTTCCAATTCATGGCTAATAAGTGAGGAAGTGACTCCAGTTTCCCATCTTCTAAAAAATGGTCATCTGACAGTTTTGACAAGGGATGCAATGCTAATTTTACACTTGGGCAGCAAAATAAAAACCAACCCTGGAAGCTGAATGCATGAGAATGTTCTTACTGCAGCAGTCTGGGTTTTATCAGATGTGAGCTGCAGATCATTGAAACACGTCCAGCACACTAGCAATTTTCGTGCAGTTATCTGAAGATTTTGGGATGTTTAACCAAGCCTTTTAACTATAGAATACACAGAATTGAATTTTCTTCAAACTTCAGGTGTCAACTGAAACTTTAGAAGATCCAGCCTTAAATTTTCTACAAAGCCGTAACCACATGGTAGGGCCAGGAATCTGACAGGTAAGGTGTAGCAGGGTGTAAGGGGGAGGTGTGTAAGAGTGAGGGAGGAGTGTGACCAGTTAGAACTGCACCATGCAGAATGTCATCAGTATCTGACTTCAATGACAGGACATTCCTCTTCCAGCAATGTAATAGAAATGATTTGCCCACTGACACAGACATTGCCCTTTCAAGTGCTGGCAGCAGCTCCAAGTACTGGTAGACTTTAATTTTAGTTCTACGCACACTATAGTGATATTCAGGGTGACTTAGAGTTAGCATGAGGTCATTTTGCACTATTGAGTTTGTTGTGCAATTTAACTTGATCATGGCAAATCTAATGTCCAACTATCCACCTTGATTCCATACGACCATCCTCAGTTCTGAAATGTTCAATCAACCTGACATCAACAGCTTTTTAGTAGCAAGAGTTTCAGATATTTCCCAATATGTCGCGCCTAGTCACTTCCACATCAACAATTAGAGAATAACAGACCAGACAACTATACACCTACCTTAAGTACACAACACTCTCAAAATGTTCATGGATGCCTCATCCTTCTCCAGGGAATATAATCTGTCTAGGGGAGAAACATCCAGCTTGTCACTGTCTATTTGGATTGGAAGGGAAGAAACAGGCCTGTATGTTCCCTGACTATCTGGATAATGTGTCTGGTGTTCCCTGTTTTTCTTTGAGATACATCTGCATAATCTCTGTCTGTCTATTAGATGTGCCTGTGTACTCCCTATCTTTCTGGAAATGATATGTCTGTTAATTCTCTGTCTGTCTAGAGGATGTGCCTGCCTAGAGTGATTTGTCTGTGTGCTCACTTTTGCCAGGTAGGGATGTGTGTGTACTCCCCGTCTGTTTGCTTCACATTGAGAGATGTGTCTGCCCATCACATTGTTCACTTTTGCCAGGTAGGGATGTGTGTGTACTCCCTGTC